CACAATATTATACTATTTATATTCAGTGTCTTGGGTAAAATTATTGATTTAGCTATAGGTGTTACCTACACTATGATAATTTGAATTTCAAAATTATTACATTCAAAAAATACTTAATATTATAGCTGTTATATTTTTAGTTTCAATTAGGTATAAAATGTAATTAAACAACTGTTTTTAATTATTATTACCATAAAYTAGCCATTATTATTATTAGAGTAATAAGTTTTAATTATTTATTAAATTGTTTGATTTGTTTTCATACTTATTAGGTATCTAGTATAAAATATTAAATTGTCACCACATAAATTGGACATTTAAWGAAAACAATGATTTAATTTTTGTAGGCATCTATTGYAATAATTTCTGCACTTTGATAAGATGATGTACTTTAGCAAATAAAGTTCAAAGGTGCTTGTTTYATACATTAAGGAACMAATATGGATAAGCCATATGTGTCCTTCCTATATACATATTTTAGGTACAGTTATCCTTTTGAAATGGTTCAAATAGGTAACTTATTTTTTTTTAAATTCACAAATTCCCTAAATTGTTAGTTTATAGCCAAAGGTTAGCAGCTAAAATTATTAAAATACTATTGCTTGATGGTCATTATATTATTTATTAGTCTAGAGAAATGTTAAGCGTTTTTATTTTTTAATACCGGGCATCAAGTCCTATACAGTATCATATTTAATTGTGTACATTATGTTTTTTAGATATACTAAACAAAATGTTGTTGTTCGACTTGGTGAATATGATTTCACCACAAATAACGAGACAAAATACATTGACTACAGATTAACAGATATTAGATCACATCCAGACTATGATCATGCTACGCACGCCAATGACATTGCCATAGTGAGGTTGAATAGACCTGCAATTTACAATTCGTTTATTCGACCTATTTGTTTGCCTAAAACAAATATGGAGGTGTACAAAAAAAATGCTGTTGTTGCTGGTAAGTGTAAGAAGTGAAAAAATCACTATTTTTAAACAATTTTATTCACTAGCTAGTGGTAAGTTAGGTTAGATAAGATAGTATGAGAGATTTTAATGCACTAAATTATTTTTATTTATTCCTCCCATCACTTTAGAATCATCCTTGCTCCCCATTATTTGGTGTAAACTTTTTAAACATTCAATTTTATAGGCTACAGTAGTTATTGCATGTATATTTGATTTTAATTCATAAAAAATTATGGCATCACCCAACATCCACTTAGAAATTCAAAGGTCCTGTAATGAGGTGTCAAGACATATAAAATGTACACTTAAGGATTACAGCTGTATTAATAAATTAATTTTATAATTATTAATTAGGTTGGGGCCAAACAGTTTTTGGCGGTGAAGTCAGCAACGTTCTCCAAGAAGTGACAGTGCCAATATGGGAACATGACCAATGCGTCTCAGCTTTTTCACAACCAATTTTCAAAACAAATCTTTGTGCTGCTTCRTATGAAGGGGGCAAAGATTCCTGTTTAGTATGTCGAAATATATTTTTTTTAATTTTATACTTATAATAATATAATTACAATTATAAATGTTTTTTTCAGGGAGATTCTGGTGGTCCGCTGTTAATGCAAAGACAAGACGGAAAATGGACTAATGTTGGAGTAGTGTCTTGGGGTATTAGCTGTGGAGAAGTTGGATATCCCGGTGTTTACACTAAAGTTACTTCATATCTCAAATGGATAGCTGTGAACGCACAAGATGTCATCTGATGACTGACCTGCTTACATTAAGATAAACAGAAGTATTATACAAATGTATTTAAATAATTGTAATTTTAATTTTAAAAGTTAACAATTGTATTTATATAAAAATAAATAACTAAACAATAATTTAAATAATGAAAATATATTTTATCAAATGTGAAAAACTAATTACCTAGTCATTAGTCACTACGATGGTGATCTGCATGTCATAGATGACGACCATAGTTAATACTATTTACCACAATTTGAGAAATCTTAATAGAGGATATTTTTTCAACTATGGAAGTKCTGTACCTACTAATATATTATAAGATGATGATACTATAACATTATAACTTTTAATATAGTAGTCTTATATTCAACAGATTATATTACAATACACGTTCAATTGTTCAAAAGATATCGTAGATATTTAGCCATAATGAAAGAGACGATTGTACATGCTCAAACTGTTTAAGCTTATAGACATACCTAAYACGATAATTTACAAATGCAAATAATTTATCAATTATTATCTTATATTCTTATGTAATGTACTTATTACAGACATGAATATTGAATACAGATTTGTACTTTTGATATAATACATTAATTAATTTGAATAGGTAAGTATAGGGATAATTATCATCARTCATAAATTTATACTTTGTAATAGTTATGTTTTGGAATTAAGTTCTACCTACCTATCTATTTAATATTTTAATTTAATTAATTATAAATCATTCTGTTGTCCACTTTTTAAAGTATTTTTAAAGAAAAAAGTTGTTTAATTATAGGTTGAAATATTATACACTACCAAACTATAAAAATTGTGAGTAAATTGGTACAGTTCACTGATAATCATCCTAACACGAGCTGGTGCAAATGTAGATGAAACATAAATCTATACTTATTACTGATATACCTATAAAGATATTAAAATATTTAATGGTAGTACTTATCATGATAATGATAAAGGGCACGAGGTCMAAGAGCTCGTGCGATTATCATTGCACCGAGTGTAAAAACTGGCGTAGTGCATTTAGGTGAAACATAAAAAAGTCCACTCAGTGGCCAGTGCACATTAATCTTGTAGATGGAACATAAAAATATGCACTGGTGCTGGCAGTGCAGTGTGGTGGAAAACACCATTAATAATAATAAAATAATAATAATAAATAATATTAATATTATATTAATTAATAAATAATTAATAATAATAAAACACAATCAATAATAATAGTGATAGTGAATTAATAATCTATAGCCACTCTTTAACCGCTTATACCAGAAACGACAAAAGTTTCCACTATACACGTACGCGTGTACGTGCATAAAAATGCTTTGCTGTGATTGGTTGGTATACATGGTAAGCTTTTGGTATACCAGAAAGTTTTTACGTTTTTAACACACGATTAACCGTGTTACCGTATTGTTAGATTTGTTTTAACATTTTTCGTGTACACGACACACGGTACATAATTATCAGATCATAATATTATCTCAAATCAGTCAAATCTGAAATCCGCGTCTCGCAATATTTCTATAATAGGTAATAAGTTTATATTCTATAATTCATCATGGAATCGTCTAAAATATTTGTAAGTACCTTATGATATTTACTTATTCTAATCAAGTATTACTGTTTTGTAGTCCACTCAATACAATATAGTATATACTACAAAGGTATTGGGTACACACCATGAAATAAGAAGATACCTATCTTCTTTCTATCTTCTTTTTCTATSTATCTTAGTTCATGGTACACACGATTTCATTTATGATACAATACAAAAMAATGCAAAATAAAACTTTTCATACTTAATCATGGTACCTTGAAATGGATTACCATGTAATCTAGAATTAAATATGACTTAGAAAAATTGATATGCAAATCCATGAACCCCGATAATCAATAATATTATTAATGATCCCAGGAATATTATATTATACTTATTCATTTTGATCATGTACTAAATTAAGTCATGAACAATGTAATTACATCATCAATGTTTATACCTATTACACTACTATATAATTTATATAATAATTAATAGTATACCTACTACTTATTAGTTGTTATGGGACTGATTTTATGATTCATTTAAAAAAAAGTAACATAGTATTGATAAAAATATTTAATGTAACATCTAAAGTAATATACTCAACAGTCAACACTGTAAATACACATCTTCTTTAATAATAATTTCAATAATTATGAATGTCAGCAATTGTATTCAATTTTTGTTTTTATTTTATTTATAATTAGACCCCAAGATACTATTAATTTGTTATTTGAGATTGATCAATAGCCACCATTCCTCATCAAATAGTATGACCAGTATTTATGGGTACTATTGTTACAATAATTGTGATGTTATTTATCATTTAATGACACTTTAGCCATTATTATTTATATTATTGAAATTAGATATTTTATTATTTGACTAAGTGCAATTTTGAATGTTATAGGGAATTCTATGCAGAAAGTGCAATCATTTAATGGGTTTGAATGACAAAAATCTCAAATGTTCAGAAWGCAACTAAAAATTTTAAATATATATAATGGAAGCGGAATTATATTATATTAGAGGGTTTTAATGAAATTGTAATATTGAGATAAGCTATGGTGATTGTTCTCATGTCATAATGTTTATTTAAATATTTAAAAAAAGGCGGGATATCCTTTGTATATCGTTATCAACAATTATCAAGAACCATTGGTTATATAACCATAGTTACCAAAGTAACCAGTCTAAACTTTTTGAAGACCATTCGAAGCCAAAATKTTTTRTCATTTAATGCACGTACRCGCATACGTGTATAGTGGAAACTCCCTTGTATTCAATTCTAGGTATCCTTGGTTTAAACTTGGTTATACCAACCTACCAAAAGTTAAACGTCCAATCWGAATGCGATTTGACCAACACGACACGACACACGGCGTAGATGTGAATCCGGCTTAATCTATCAACCTTGCGTGCTCACAACCATGGTTTAAGATATCTTAAACCGTGGTATTTACATATCAGTCGTAACTTTGTTGATAACATGGTTATCACGAATTCTGAATTCAAATTTCAAATTCACAAGCCATAATGTTGTTTTAAAATTTAAATTAAAAATGATCAATAATTATTTGTTTTGAAAATTTCGTTCCTCCTTAGTCCGTGTCCTATTCTGCCCGTTCACCGTTGGTTACAAGTGGTATTCATCGAACATTACACATACAAGTACATTTTAAAACTCAAATCAAAATGAACAGCTTGAAAAATATGTTTAGACCTACGAAACCAATTTCTAAAAATGTTTCATTTAAACCCGACGAACTCATGTCCAACAGTCAAAAAGTTAGGTTACAATATTTGAACTACCTACTCTATTTTTTTTAAACAAATATATATTGTAAACTTATCCATTGAAATTGTATGTTTCAGTTGATGTTGGAACTTGGTATCATCAGACAAAGTGCCAACGGATTATACCACTTACTGCCCCTAGCTCAGCGATCTTTAGAGAAATTGATTTCCATCATAAATAAAAATATGATGGATATTGGTGCYCAGAAAATTTCTATGCCCGTATTGATACACAGTAACTTGTGGAAAAAAACAGGTTTGTTGTACACATTAGTTTTGATCGATTTAGATTATTGTATTTGTTTTTATTATATTGTATTTATTACATTAATTGCACTGTACATTGCTGATTGGTATTGAATTGATGAAAGTAATCTTTCAAGATRTTGATATCAGTACTAATTTTAATTAGCAAACTATTAAACCTCGTTATAGAATAGGTATTAACATAACTGAGAACTTGAGATACGTGAAATTATATGTTTTTCTCAATATCTAATTTATAAATTATGCTATCTATGTTCAATTCACAATATTGATGATTACAATTTTAAACAAAGATCTAATTTTCTAACTTTCATTGAATATTGTAGGTGCAATAATTAGTCTTAAGTCACATAAAAAGAAAATCCATAAATCCGGATAATTCAGGAAATCTGGATAAAATTTGATTCAAATCCATATTTGGATTTCATGCCCTACCCTACTAATTACACTAATGTATTTGTGTATTTGTTTGTTTATTTCAATTACCTAATATTTGATTAATTTGTTTTTTAAGGTCGGTTAAACAAAAATATTGAAGATTTATACATAGTGAATGATCGTAAAAGCAAAGAGTTCCTACTAAGTCCGGTAATACACATATATACATGATTAACTATATATATATATATATTAGTGATTGGCAATATATATTTGTACAGACTCATGAAGAGGTCGTTACTGATTTATTTAGTTCAGATCCTAAGACTTACAAGCAGTTACCTTTGATGTTGTATCAAGTTGGCGCAAAATTTAGAGATGAGACCAGGCCTAAATTGGGCATAATCAGATCCAAAGAGTTTCTCATGAAAGATTTATATTCTTTTGATAGAGATCAAACAAGTGCTACAATTACATACAATAAAGTTTGCCAAGCCTACGAAAAGATATTTAAGTGCATAGGTGTTAAATTCATAAAAGGTAGAGAGGATATTATGATAAAAAAAAACTATGCAAAACATTATTATTATGAATTTGGTTTTAGTTGAAGGTGCTTCTGGAATGATGGGCGGAAATCAATCCCACGAATTTCATTATCCGGCCGAAGTCGGTGACGATACACTATTGCAGTGTAAGAAATGTGGATTTGGAATGAACAAAGAAATGTCACCAGAGTTGGTCCAGTGCCCCAAATGCTCTAGTACTGATATTGAGTTTACTAAGGCTATTGAAGTAGGCCACACWTTTCACCTTGGTACATTTTATTCAAACGCCTTGTCTGCCATGTATTYGGATACAGATGGCACTATGAAACCTCCATATATGTGTAGCTATGGTTTGGGTGTTTCCCGAATAATTGGTGCATCTGTAGAATGTTTGAGCACACAAGAAATAATTCAATGGCCGCRGCCATTGTCTCCATTTACCGTTTGTATAATACCAGCCAAAGAAGGTAGTATCGAGGAAAACGCTTCTCTGAATAACATACACTCCCTTTATAATCATTTCACTGAAATATTTGGGGATGATATTATTGTTGACGATCGAACTCATATGACTATTGGCAAACGATTGATTGAAGCAAAGAAATTAGGATTTCCGTTTGTGGTCGTTATGGGAAAGAAAATAAATGAGACCCCCCCTCTTTACGAACTGTATGAAGCTAATACAAAGAAATCAGAACATTATGAACTTAGTAATTTGATCAATTATTTTAAGCAACAATGTTTAGACAAAATATAAGTATTATTTAGTTTAAAGATACTTAATTACTATATTAATTAGTTTTAGCAATAACTTGTGATAATTGTCTATTTATTGTTTTCTAATACATAACATTTTCATGTTTAGTTGTTGAATTTTTAAACATTTTGTTTTATTTTATAYGTTTATACAATTTAATCTAAACATTRGCACATTGCTCTTCCATTTTATGTTCTAGTATTGGAAATAATGATATTATATTTTATTCAGATCAATTGTGATAWGTATGTTTTAAAACTTAAAACCAGTAACTGGTTTGTAACAAAAATCGGTAAAAAACCAATGATATGAGAACCGAAAAYCGATATCCAATTTTTTGTTTTGGAATTGTGGAAGCGATYGTTGCTTATCTGTAAKACTAATYAAAATTAAAAAATTTCTAAATATTAACATCAAAGCGGTAACATTGTATTGTCAAATACGGTTTTAAAACTAAAACCTATTTCCAACCAAAATAATTAACGGTTTTTTCATGGTATTCAATTCTTGAATTATATATGCATATTTTTTTTTTTATCGTAATTATAAACGACACAAAATATATCTAAAAATAATAAATTTTGAATACTTGGTCATGATTATTATAGTTGAATTTAATTTTTCAGCTATTTTAAATTAATTTTCCCCAATTGATTGCCATGAAGTGTCGCTTATCAGTCGTGATTTCGTGAATATCATATATAAGCATAGGCATGTTTTTTAGTCTATTTATTATAAATACTGTCATAAACATTGTTGTCATAGTCTTGGATCATACTATTAATGTGTTGAAAATTGTACAATATTGTACATATTAATATATTATACTAACTTAATTAAAGATCTTATTAAGTTATGTAAATAAAACTTTTGTACTCTTCCCTTGAAGCAAACCAAATTTTAAACTAACTGTTTCTTATTAATCGCATGATGACATTGTAGGTAAACTCATCCTTATGTTTTACTTTWWWAAAAAATTAAACTCTAAAATTAGTTTTATTGAAATCTTATTCACACCATTCTCCCTTTGAAGGAACTAAGTTTAATGGAACAAATTTGTAATTCGTCAATTGATGATAAAAATTAAAAAATAAATATGAGTTTACATACAATGCATCAGGTGATTAATAACAAATGGCTAATTAAAAATATGGGTTGCTTTAAAGGAAGAATATAAACATTTGATAAACAAAACTGCATAAGATTTCTAATTAGGTAGGTACCTACTTAAGTTAGTATATCTACAATATTGTTATTTGTTTTTAAATATGACAACGATTTACAAATTCTTAAACCGAAAAAAATTTTAATCCCTGCTTAAAACAAATGAGAATTAAAATATTAATGCTGAAAACAAAAAAAAAATAATGATTTTTTCACCAATGCCAATTGATTAAAGTAGCGTTGTATGTAAACATGAGTTATATACATAAGTCTATATTAGATAAGTTAATCATGTTAATGTTTAAAATTGTTCGACTTGTCAATATTCAATACTCATTAAACACAGCCTATTTTAGAGTAACGCTTTTCTTTAAAAATCATGTATATCATGTGTTTCTAAAACAGGAAATATTATATAAATGTTGTGTTGAGGTCATAAGTTATACTTTTTTGCCCTTTTTTTAAAAAAAAAAAATGATTAAAGTTTAGTCGAAAAATTAACGTAAGCGTATAAAAAAATCTAGTTTAGTAAAACTATGCATAATAAATAAATTATATATAATATAAAATAAAATATTTATCTTTTCTAAATGCCTTAAATCTGTTAATAAGTAAATATTAATTTTTAAGAGYTTGTATTTTATGAAAAATAAGCAAACCAAAACATTTAAAAATATGAATTCAACAATAAAATGGCAGACCATGACGTGTGTGGTGTGTCACAATAGTAATGATGCATGGTGTAATCTTTAAAGTAATTCTCATATGGTGTTTGCCAACAATTTAAGATTAACCAAYGATCTTATAGTTTTTGAGGATGATATCAATAATTGATAAATTCCAATAAACTGTATACATTCATCRTTAATCATCTTTTCTAGTTATTTTTACAAATTTAATCAATTTGTGCGTGTCAAGAATGAAWGTTTCWMACGGTCAATGTTCTATAGATAAAATATATTTTAAACAATAAAATATAAAAATTATTTAGTTACGTTGTTACAATAGGTAGCAAAATAACTTGGTACACATATCAAACTTTCAAAACAATATATAGAAGGATTAAGTCATTGAGGATATCGAAATCAAAGATGAAATTTAATGGTTTATCTCTGTTCATTACTAGCATTACTACTATCTTTTCATGCTAAACACATTTATTTTTTTACACCTTTGAAAAATTGATGTTGTCGTCTCATAAACATAGTACTTATATTTTATGTTACCTGTAATTTTATAATATTGTAATAATTTTATGGTGTTTTTAAAATGTACAATTAATAAAAATCAAAAGCTCTGGTTGTTACAATCAACGAAAAATTAAAATTACARTAAATTTAGGAATAACAAATAGGTACAATATGTAACATGTAAAAAAATATGTTTATAATTCAAAGTTTAAAAATATAGTATGTAAATTATATAGTAGGTAAAATTTCTTATCAAGTAGATTTAGCACAAAAATACACATACCTACAGTATATCTGTAATTTTTGTTAGATAAAAAAATAATTGACAAAATAGAGAGCTTTTTTGTTTCAATTCTTTTTCTTATACAAATAAACATTTATATCTCATTTTAAGTRACTTATAACTAACRAAAATATATTTTAAATACTTAATATTTTAACATGGCAGATATTGAGCTGCAAATTCATAATTTGCAACTACGAAATAATATATACATGTATTATTTAAATAATAATAATAATAATAATAATAACAGTTAATGAGCAAACATGTATACGCGTAAAATATAAATAATAGCAGTTGTATGGTTAGTATAATAATAATTTATTCGACGGTGTCATTTTTATCCTAGAGTAATAACAACAGACATGATTATTCAGCAACAGTCGTTAGATAGGTACTACAATATAATCATGCCGTCATACTTGGAGTTAAGATTTAAAAAAAAAAATTAATTTTTTTAATAGAGTTGTAAAGAAAAGAACGATTTTGAAAAAAAAAAAATGCTTAACACTCGAGAAGAAAAATAAAAAACAAAACAATACAAAACATGTTTGTGCGTTAACATTTAGAGATCGTCGGATCACGCGGCGGCCGCATCTTGCGATCGGCCAGCACGGTCCATGCGTCCGAGAACAGTTTATCGTCGTTGGCCACCAAAAACGACATGTAGCACATCTGCTTGACGGACAGGTCGGCGGAACGGGAACACACGTGGCCGTGCAGGACGTTGGCGCGTTCCAGGTCCAACCATCTGGTAACAATAATCCGGGGCGTAGCACTCGATATCAATAATAGGTGTGATGTGGTGCACGTGTGGAGGTGGTGACAGTGGTTATGGGTCGGTGGATAGGGTTAAGTGGTTGTGGAGGTGGTGGTTACCTTTTCAGCGAYAGCGGTCGGTCRGGCGACACGGTCACTCCAGTCGGACCCCACAGCCAGAACTCGAGCAACGCTTTGCATTTGGACAGAGAGTTGGGCCGGTCCTGACGCAACACTTGCGACAGACACACGGTCATCTCCCACGTGGGCGCCAGCAATCTGAGCACCTTGAGCATGATCTCACAAAGCGTATCCTCCGCTTCCTGCAAAAGTGCGGGGCTCATAATATTATTACATATTATTATCAATGATATTAATTTAGAAAGAAGATGTCGTACGCACAGGCACAAATAGTGTTTAAGATTTGGTGGTGGGGGGGGGGCTGAATCTCAGATTTAAATTGGAAACTTTATTGACACTTATATAATATTGTGTATGTATGACATAAGTTTTTGGAGACTTAGCCTCCAACCCTCCTTATTCACGCCCATGGTTGTACAAACTACGAAGTGTACGAGTGACTGACTGGGTAGAGATAGAAAAGCCCTCTTCATACCACCCTTGATCCGACATCGATATTATATATATATTATATATGTAGTTACTAATAATTTTAACCAGGCTCAAAAAAAAAAAAAAACTATTCAAAAAATTAACATTGACAAACGAAAAAAGACGAACACCATTAAAACTTTTAACATAGGACTATAYGAGAGTACGAGACGCATATTTATGAATTATGATGGCCAGTTTTTTTTTTGGGAAGAGGGAATTATGGCGTTATTAGGAATTAAATAGGGATAGGCATTTTTTACCTTGAGCATACCTATTTATAGATCTCTTTATAAATGTTACAACGAAATTTTAAATCGGGATAAAAATTTAAAAATCCACTTGGTTCCCAACTCCTTATAAAGTTTAAAGCTTCGCCCTTGTTGTYCATCGCATCATTCAATATTATATTTAAATACTAAACTYTTATTTGTCTAGGAATAGTTACACACAGCATATATGCGTATCTGGAAGGTATGACGTATTACTGCTGTATTAGCCATTCCTGCAGTAATATGAGATAACYATACAATGGCTATTACATATAACTTATGAACTGAACAAATATCTACTTTGTGTAGGTACCTGTAAATCGGTTTCCAGTTGAGCCACGGCCACAGTCGGGTCGGCGCCGAAACAGTTTCTAGTCACCATGAACCGTTCCAGGCTGTATCGGTCCACGTCTGACGCCTGCAGGCCGATCAGCAGATTTACAGTTTCCACTAAGATGARACCMGCTTCCTTGGTGATGTCCGCGTACTTGGCATTGTATTCCTTGCAATACGATTCCACGGCCTCCACGTGATGAGCATTCCACAGCGTTACGTAGGCTGCAATAAATTAGCGTTTGTAAATGTTATGAAATTCAAAATTGTGAAACATTTCAGTATTATAATTATTTTTATTTTTTTAAATACCTCAGTTTTATTTTTGCATTAACAACTGTCATAATTCAGTAACTCACCTTCACAATTTTATAATATTAGGGAAACCAATCACTTCCTAACTTATTTATTTGTTTGTGATGGTTTTCTTAAATTAAGTAATTGATAAATAATAATCATTAATATATTTTGTATGAAAAAAATTTCAATGTTTCACGTTTTTGTGAAATATTTCATACTTCAAACACTAAATACGTATAATATTATCCATCGTTTGAGGTTTTAAAAAAAAATATAATATTTAAAAACTAACACGAGACAAATCGACGATAGATCGATATAATAGCATACAAATTTCATTTCCCCCACTCACATCAAGGCATATATAATAAATATTATACACACCTTCTTCGTTTTCGGCGCCTGGACAGTATTCTTTTTCCACGCGCGTCACGAACTCTGTTACTTTGGTCATAGTGAAATGGTTGTTCAGTACGTTGTTTAACTTAACAGGTTCGCTGGAAATGCTCAACACCACCGGCACGTCGTACCATTTGCCGTTGTAGAAAGCGCAACCGGATTTTTGCAACCGGCTCGTCGAGTCCACTCGGAAACTGGACCATTCCAAGTTCTTTGTCTTCAACGCTACCAACTCTTTGGGCACTTTTGGACAACTCGTCGCCTGCATCATATGTAAAAAACAACGACGGATTTAGTATATTTTATAAAATCACACTAAAAGTTCATACCTATGTATACAATGTATATTAAATATACATATAGGAAGATCCTCACGACACATCTCCGTGTTATTATTATTAAAATGTAGTTACCTGGTCTAAGAGTTTGGTCAGGGCTTCGTGATTGGCGATCACGACGGCGTCGTAACTCTCTTCGAGACTTTTGTGTCCCGGCTGAGTGTTCCTAATACTGTCTTCGGCTCCGAACTAAAAAAATTAAAACATATTTAAAATTTAAATGTTTAGCGTTCGCTCGAGTATAATCTTTTTTTCTGTTATAAATCCAAAGACAACAGATATTTTATACTTTAGTAAAACTATTTTTAAGAACACTATTATTCTAAGTAAATGTACATATTATTTTAATAACACAAAAATTACTCGTTCGAATTTTGTTTTAGATGTTTTATTAAAACAATTCAAAAAATATATTTATATACAGAGTATAGGGCATTATTCGAATAATTTTTTTATATTTATTCGAATAATTATCTAGATAAAATTTTGCCCAACTCTGTTTATATATAATATCGTTAATAATTTACGGTAAAAGTTGAAATAAAACATAAGTTTGTTTTTCAACTGGATAAGTACCAATACTCCTTAATATATAGTGTAAAATCTAGATCAATGAAAATATRGTCCCTAAGTATACTTCTAAAAATTCGGAATTCAAATAAAAAATTAAGATAAGCATGTTTGACGAATCAACCTTCACAGTGTTAGAATAATAATATAGGATCGTAACTAACGTCGTCACCAAACTGGATGGTCGGATATATTATCTCCGACTCAGTCTCGCTACCGTAATACTGCATGGACGTCAGTCGTGCCATTTCCGGCGAACTGTGGTCACATTCTGGTGCCGAAAAATTCACTGGTTCGTAAGCTTCGTCAGACGCACTGGAATCGCATGTTTTCGGCTCGTGGGGGTAATCTTTGATTTCCGTGGACGGGGYACACTTAAACGGCAGCTTTGTGACGGGAGGAAGACTTCGTGGCGGCGGTGGTGGTTTAGTAGGTCGTACTGAAACATTATTTCAAACACTATTATTATGCGGGTCGAGTGAACGTAAAAAATTAGTTAATAAAAAAGATAATAATGTGGGTGTCACACTGCACAGTGAAATGGACGTATTATCAGTAAATGAATAGTGAAACACTGAAAATTATACAATAGGTAAACCGACCAATGATTTTGCATACCCAAAACAATTGAACATTAAGTACAAAAAGAATGATGAAAAGAGAACCAACGCTAATTGATTATTGAAAACGGGAAAGTTGACTTCATTCATTTATACTGGATGAAAATAGTAGGTAAATAATATCATTGATAATAAATACTATAAAATAATAATATAATAATAATATAATAAATAATATTAATCAAAACAACTAATTGAAAAAATATAAATACCTATGAAGTGAATGTTAGAAATATAATAAATAAGTAAAATAAAATTTGTACCTATATTAATATCGTATAGTGACACGGTTGACCCAAATAATAAAGGTTATGTATCGATAAATGTCAAACTTTTCAAAAAAAATAATATAAGTGTTATTTTACTCGAAAATAGTAAGGCATAATATTCATAATTTATTAAATTTAGTAGACATTTGATAAATTAAAGTAAAGAAGGTTAAATTAAWTTTATTTTTTTTAGAAAAAGTGAATAATAATCTAGAATGTTATTAAGTTACTATCATTACGAATAAGGTAAACTGCTGATTTCATTATTATAATTTATTTAAAATTACTAGTTATTGGTACCAAAGTACAATAACATACTCGTAAGATACATAAATTATATAGACAGCAGGTATAGTGATATATGCAAATCTGCAGGCATATTATGTTATATGTACAATGTACATCTTTGTGAATTATAATAATAATAGAATATAATCGATAAGTTAGAAGTGAATGATTTTTTGTACCAAAAAAATTATGATTAATTTACAACGTTTATTGATTTTAAAAAACCTCTTATTATATTATAAAAATATAATAAAAAATAGCAGTTTTCTACGTAGTAAAATAGATTATGTGTATATAATGTGAAAAGTATTTTTTTTTAATGTATTATATTTTGATTAAATGTATAATAAACGGAAATGAATAACAACATTTATGTATGAGTGTAATCGAGGAAAAGGTCAGGTGATAATTAACAGACAACGTTATATGTGATGGCGGTGATGATAGTAGAACAGGTAGAAACACTAGAAACGAATAGTACAACAGGATTTCTAAATAGTTAAAGACGAACGGTATTTGATCAAAACACGTTAATTGATTAGATACAACCACCAACATCCGAAGAAGACCGGATGTAGATTGAAAAAAACGTAAAATAGCAAATCACGCGTACCTGGATGATGATTGGTCAGTGCTTTGGCGGACGGCTCTTTTGCATATAGCAGTCCATCAACAGCGTAGTTGTGTATGATTTCCACGCCTGACTTGTTGATGTCCAGCGGATGAATGATTTCCAACTTGGGCCTGGTAGTTGGTAGCTGTGGTGTGACGACTGTTGATTCCCGACTGGGTATCCTCAGGAATTTTTTGATCTTAAGACCAACCTTGGTAGCTTTACCGTATTTTTTTTTCTCACAGGCGGGCCGTTTTCCGGGTAACGGAAGCGTGGACGATTCGTGCACCAAATCGCCATTGCAGGCGACAGTTGTCTCCACCGACGTTCGTTCCCTGTTTTCGCAGTGTTGCGACTGTTCTTTTTCAATCTGTTCACAGTATTCGGCCAGCAGCTTGCGGTTCGTGATGGTTATGTCATTGGGTTTGAATTCATCGTCGGAAATTGAACTGTTAGCGCTGTGGTAAACGAGATCAGCGCACTTGGTCGACGTCAACGATGGAGGCGGTGGAGGCGGTTTCGGGGCTTGGCGTTTGATACTTCTGAGACATTCGGGAGGGCTGTTGCTGGTTATCGAAGTCTAAAAAAAAATATTTATAAATATAGACGTAAAATATAATTGAAAATTAAAAATMCAACAAGGATAAAATATCTTGAAGTCAAATTAATATTAAAAACCATTAAAAATAACACTAAAAAAGGTCGGGATAATTATTATAACATAGATCTTACTTTTTTATTGGGCGTCCTGGGAGGTGTAGTAGAGGTGTTTCGCAATGGCGACGAATTATCTTTGAAGTTGTGGAGGAACGATCGGTTTACTGGGGTCGTCGTCGGATCTCCGGGCTCGTCAGAGTCTGCTTTTCCGTCGGGTTCTCCGGCCATTTCTCTGCTGGTCAACAACGATGAATCTGGCGGAGGATCCACAGGAGTACCACTACTGATCAGTTTCAATGGTTCGGGTTTTTGGGACGAAGCCACGGCCAACTTCAGTTTGAAGTGCATGGTGCCCATTCGTGGTACATTACTTCTCGTCTTGTACGGTGCCGCACCACCACCCCCCGTATCAGAGTCTGACTCTCTGGTTGACGAGATGACTTCGGTGGTTTCCTCAGGACTTCTTGATTTTTCAACAGGTTCTATCGTTTCCAGTTGGTGGACGAGTTTTGCTCTTGGAATTTCCGTATTTTTCAATGTTAACATTGGCGGAGGCGGTGGTACAGTCGATTTCGTCTCTTCCTCTTCCGTCGGTAAACTGCACCGTCTTATGTTTAAATACGGTTCATTGGAATTGGCCACTAGTGAGCTTCTAGATAAAGTCGGTTTTTTTATTGTTTCAGTCTTTCTCAGTTGAATGTTTTCAGTATCTTTTTTCTCGATTTTTTGTACCTCTTCGCAGGTTGCTACGGGTGCTGCAGTGGTGGTGGTTGCGGCAGTAGTAGCAGTGACAATCTCTTTGTTCTTTAGGAAGTTGAACACAAGCGATTTGGGTGGTTCTCCGCTAAACGGCTGAACGGTAACCAGCGGCGGCGACTTGTTTTGCACCATTGGTTTTTTTACGGGTGACTTGATGTTCGTCGCCGCCGTTACCACTTCGGTCACAGGTTTCGAAACATTACCACCGACGGTTACCTTTTCAGGTGCGATTTCAGGTTTGCTGTTTAAGTTCGTGTTGGCCTCGGTCAGTCTTTTGAGCTCTTCATCGTCACCAGAGTCAACAAATTCCGAACCGTTATCTTCGTCCGACGAATATTCTTCGTCCGTCGAGTACTCTTCGCCGCCATATCCGATGACTTCCATTTCGACGTTCGAAAATGACACATTTCGGGATTTGTCACACGAACCGTTTACTTTCAATATACTCTACAGAGGAAAAATATAAATTAAATTGCGTAGATTTACTATTTTGCGTAGAAAAATACATGTACAAACACTTTGTGCTGTGTGGGTGAATATACGAGTTTGGCGAGGAGCCGTGGTTACCTGTGCTGGAGATATTTCCGGTAGTGGTTTGTAGTCGATAATAACTCGTTTGGGCTTTTCGGGGTGCTCCTCTTTGGGACGAAAACAGTTGGAGCACAGTTCTTTTTTCCAAGCATTCTGTTTGAATCTTGGACACACATTTTCCGGTGACATTCTGCTTCATCAATTGGTTTTAAAACAAATGATGACGATATGTAAAAAAATTTCAGAATTTTTATTTGCCATAATCCTGCGAAAAAAAAAATTGTAAAATAAACATCAATATTACATAATAATTGTAGCTGACTAATTATACTTATATACATTATATATTAAAAATGTCCAAMAATTTGAAATTAAAAATAGCAACTCTTTTAAAGTCCTTAAAAAAATTTCACTTATAGGCTATTACAAGAACAAAATATYGACAGACTCAAACAAATGTGTAGGATTATTAAAATATTAATATATTACTTATTAAATTAGATAATTGTAGTTGTATTGCCATATATGTAGTGTAGTATTTAACTACACGATTATTTTCATAATATCTACTACAGTACTACATTATATTATATTAAATAAACAAAGTAAAACATATGAATTCATTTATATTTATATTATAGTTATGAGATAAATGTGTATTGTAAATTGTAATTATTTAATTTATATTAATATTTTTTAATGAATTTATATTTCTTATTGTGGACTTATGGGCCCCCACACGCACATGTTCAGTTGGGTCCATTATCTTCTTAAAGAATAAATAAAAATAAAAATATTTTATTTAGTCAAGAATGTGGATTAAAAATAATAGCGAAGTCTCAAGAATCAAGAACCACTTACAATATACATAATTATATTATAATATTACAAGTTATACTTAACATATACTGTTATATTAATTTATCTATAAATAAACAAAAATTACTTTAACACTAAAACCAGAATATTAATAACCACACATCCATAACTGGTTTTTATGAGTACAAAAAATATTTAAGTTCGTATAGGTTTCTATTGAATACTATTCTAATACCCTGAGTCAATTAATAGAAAGTAAAATATTTAAGGTGACCATTTCAAGTGATATTATGTTGAATTGTATATTGTTTAATGGTTTTATCGTTCTTCTAATATTAAACAACACTCAATTAATGCATTTTCTAAGGTTATTATATTAATTACGGAACATATATTTTATATCTCTTCAATTGAATGATTGTATAATGGTGAGTACAAAGTATAAATTTGTTTTTATTTTTATTTTTGTAAATAATGATTAACTATAAGTATAGTACTTAATAATAATGTAATATTGGTTAGCAACATAATGGTACAAAAAAAAAAATCGTTTTAACGCTTTAGCTAACAAGTACTAGAACTATAATGGAATAAMAAAATACCTATTAATAAATCATATAAGTAAGGATCAGAATAAAATAGAAAAGAATATTTCATTATAAACGCACAAAAGAATGGTACTGTATTACAATCGGTAGCGTGAAGTTGTACCTATACTATATTTATAGAATGCGATTGTATTTTAACATATTTTATATTATATCAACAAATAAATCTCGACAGCTGATACATACATTTTGATAAAATACACAGTACACATTTTAAAAGTATAATATATTATGGTTAGTACTTTATAGCGAGATTTTTTTTCAAGAACTACCTACCTATATGAATAACTTAACATTTATTATTGGAATAAACACTTATGAAATATACACGGAATAAACACATATGGTATTATTTGCTCGATTATTTGAAAATGTACAATATCCCCTCTTACTTTCTTATAGCGTTAAAACCGAAAAAGAAATTAATTGTTTCATATTTGTATTATTAATTTTCATCGCACCATTTCTAAAATCAGTATTAAAGGGATCGTCTAGTTGACCCTCAGTGTTACACGCATACAAAGGTAAGCCGCAGCCATTTTCAAATTCTAAMGTCTGCCGTGTCGTGACTATTACGAATGGGATAATGAAAAACGAGCACAAACGATTATTGTTATATTAATACGGGGCGAGTGTCGTCTTCGTATAACAAATTACGACGACGGAAAAATTAGTGCTTTTAGAAAACGCCTTGTCATTGAGTTTAATAAAAGTCATATAAAAATGTATTAGTAGCAAGTCAGCAGAGAAAAAGCCATAATTGCAGAAGTTAAATAGAGCGCCGCAGCGTGGCAAGCAAATTTCGCCTTGAATATATAATATCCTACGCACGCTTTATCTATACATTATATGCTATATATTTATACGTATATATTTGTAGTATATAATATAATAATAATAAATAATAATAAAAATATCATAAACTAATATAATTCGTTTTCTTCATTTATACAATCTTTCGAGAACACGGTCGGTCTACGAAATCCAACGCACTCGAGCATTTTATTGCAGTGTATTTATTATACACTCACACGCTATAATAATATGATATATAAAATATAATAAATAGTATGATATATTATTAAGATAGAATTCTGATATTCAAGACGATGGCGGCGGTACTTCTCGAGACGCCGAGAAAGTTGATCCGTTAAAAATAATACGATATCCGCGTGTAATTCTGCAGTGTATATAATAATATTATATAATTGTACGWTGGTATATATATTTAACGAGGGGGAAAGGACTATGATAAACATAAAAAAAATCCGGTCCACTATTGACATTTGAGTGGCGGTGGCGAGCGGTCCCACAGAATCGAAAGGGCAAAACGAGAGTGAATTAAAAAGTCAGCATCAAGTAGGTTACCTATATGTATATTAATAATAATATAATATAGCGTGAGCGCTGATGGCAACCGACAGATACTTATAGTAGATAGACGCTGCACTGTYAATTTAATGGCGTCTTTTTCTCCACGCGACTACCGACAGCGAATCCGCGCTATAAGCTAACCTAGATAGCAGTAACTCGAATCTAAAGGAGCAGGGTGACAACTGGCACCCTTCATCAACATTGAAAATTTGGTATACGAATGTTTATACCTTTTACTTTTTTATGATTAAATGAAAATATAACAATAGATAGAAAAATAAATTTGATAGAAAAACGAGGTATCAGTTTAATTTATTAGTACTCCTTTTTGAAAATGAATTTTAAATTAAGTTACGGTTATTCTTTAAAAATAATTTGGTGGATACTATAATCTCACAACGTAAATTCTATATTCTATTTTTAAAATAAGGTTGTTATTAGTAAGTTTATATTATGTGAGCGCAGCGAAAACTTTTTTTTAACAGGCGGCTATTAAATATTTTGTTTTGCCCACTCCCATAATTCAAATTAGTTTGCACCTCTGTTACTTATATTGATACTTACAACTTACAGCAACGTATAAAAATCAATGGGTTCGATCGCTTGTTGTAAAATAATAAAATCGCTTAATCACGGCAACAGACACGCGATTCGGATAAATAATAGTCGCTGAAATATAATATTATAATCAAATAAAGATCGTTGACGTTAGGGCGCTGGCCGCGCCGCGTCTGCAGCAGCCGATCGTGTCACGGCCCAACAGGCATGCAACTATTACAGTATATACGTTAACCTTGTGGCGAAGCACTGCACCGATGGAACTGGCTATCGTCGTATATTAATATATTATATTGATGGTGTCTATATGAATTATATAATACTATATATTACAATAGGTACACAATACACGGAATTAATTGATAGGCCGCATTAGAGGAAAAAAATTGGCTATTCAGGATTGGCAGCGATCAAGATTCAAGACACGACTAAGACCACAAAAACCCGGTAGTGAGTTAGCTTGAAATCCATCGACTCTCTGCAGTCTACAGAATAATAGATCACAAGAGACGACTTAAATTATGTATGTATTTCTTTTTTTTTTGCATCGGTACCAATCTGCATGCGCGCAGAAAACCGCATACTGAAATTATACGTTGTAAGACATGGTATTATAAAATATAATATTATATACACATGATAATATSGTATTAAACTCGTGTACAAGTCAACCGTCAGCTAAAATCCGATACCGTGGGTGTGTCGTCGCCATTTCAGAGACGCGAAGRGAGAATTTGAAATCCGGACGGATGACGACGTGACGAGCGTTTTTCGACGAGATCGATCACTGGTTTACCGACAATCGAATTATACGATGTAAAAACAAAATAATATGTCTCTGGCACGATGTTTTTTATTCCAAACGCAAAATAATATATGAAATACATACATACTCGTATACTATATTGTTATATAGCCACTAATGTCACCAAACACGGCAAACACCATGYCGTGTCGTTTCGCCACATGCCGCACGTCCGATTCCAGCTTAACCGAACTTCTCTCGAAAATATTTCTCCAAAAATTATTTTAAGATGAAGTAAAACGTTAATTCTTACAATCATTATAAGTTATAATTATAACTATACACAGATCACGAAACGCGGATGAAAATCGATCGAAACACAAAGAAACGAGAAATCAAAAAGACCTTGAATCATCAACAACTGTTTAATGTATTATATTAGTTATTAGTGTTATTATACATATTGGCCGTTCATGGTTAGACTTTTATGTCTCGCAGGGAACCTTCATCGACTCCACTTGAASGAGTAGTACGCTATTATAACATAATTAATTCGACCTATATATTAGGAACACTGTACCAATTTCGACAAAAAATTTCAATTTATTTTTATGAATATTTATTATTGGTCGGTGTTGGATTTTTTCAGAATCCAGTGTAAAAACAAAATGTATTACAACTCTTTAATAATAAACAGCTGAAATGAATATGCACATGCATAAAAAAAAAAAAAAAACAAAAAAACACAATATGTGATTACTGATTACCTATTGTACACTTGTATGTACCTCTGGAGAATATTGCAAAACCATGCAATGATGCTGTAAAGGAAAAAATTTAAATACAAGTTATTCTATACAATTGCTTATCACGATATATTAAAATAATGAAAGTATACGAGTACAATATGCATAAATATTTTCCTCGCTTATCGAAGGCCCGTCCATCGTAAAATGTAATMGTCTAAATGTTAAGTATYATACGAATACCTATAGGTACAACTTTAAAAAAAAAGATTAATTGTGTAGTGTTAACTAGTTGTCGTTATTAGAAAATCACATTAAAAGTTGACGACCATTAATATAACACGTCTGATATCAGACGCGCGTATGCCTATAATATAATAATAATAATATATCGAACGGTTAAAAACTTAAAACG